TGGATTTTGCCTTATCTGACAATCCAAAGGGGACAGTTCCCATCAAAAACATATGTGGGACAGCCTGTCATGGTAAAGCTGCTTTCTATTGGCATTGTGCCCATGACTATTAGAGAGACAATGGGAGGAGCGTGTCAGGGAGTTAGAGAAACAATTGGAGGTCCACGAGGATATGCTTTTGAATAAAAATGAACTGTTAGAGAGGCTGTTGCTTGCAGCAGCGGAAAGGGAGAGAAAGTTGATGAAGAAGTTTCATAAATTGCTTGACTTGTGGGTAAGATTATTAACCTCAGCTAACTGAGTGATACATTTCTCCTCAGGTGCATATTCCCTGAGTGTATTTTGTATTTCTCCTCAGGTCCATTTCGAGGTTTCCCCTGAGTGTATTCTTGGTTTTGCTCCACTGTATTTCTGTTCTGTGGGCTTGTTTATTTGCCAAGTACCTGGCTTACTGCGGGCAAGTTGTTGTTGTAGTTAGTGTTTGTGTTTCGTAGTGCGTCGTTGTTGGTGTTATATGAGTTATAAAACCTTTAATGTACCTGGAGCTTTTCAGTTTATCACCGGCAATCCAAAAGAACCTGTAAATGTTGCTGTAAATAAACGATTACTATTTGTTCCCTGACTTGCGTCTGTCACATATTCGGTGCCGGCCTCACAAGACTGGATTTATTTCCCCATTTTTCGCAACACGCTGCCAACTGTTTAAACCTTTCCTCTCTTCCCAGATAGTAAGCTTTGTAAGCCGTATCAACAAGCAAGTGTTCTTTCAAGTCTTATTCACAGAATGACAGCATGTCTGAGGCTGGAAGGGTTGGAGACTCCACTACCTCCTTGGGCAACCTGTGCCAGTGCTCAGGCAGAGTCACAGTAAAAGGTGTTACCAGAGAGATGACCAGAGGAAGCCTCCTGTGTTTCAGTTTGTGCCCACTGCCTCTGTTCCTGTCGCTGAGCACCACTGGAAAGAGCCCAGCTCTGTCTCTTAGCACCCTCCCTTCAGGTTTTTATACACATTGATGAGATTCCCCGTGAGCCTTCTCTTCTGCAGACTGAACAGTCGCAGATCTCTCAGCTTTTCCCCATATGAGAGATGCTCCAATCCCTTCAGCATTTTTGTGGCACTTTGCATAACTTGCTCCAGTAGGTCCATGTCTCTTGTATTGCGGAGCCCAAAACTAGACCCAGTACTCTAGGTGTGACCTCACCAATGCCGAGTAGAGGGGAAGGACCACCTCTGTCAACCTACTGACATCTGGGATACCATTAGTCCCCTTTCCAAAAGGGCACATTACTAGTTCATGTTCAACTTGGTGTCCACCACGACCACCAAGTTTCTTCTTTGCCCAGCATTTTTCCAGCTTGGTCCTCAGTAAGTACTGGTGCTTGGGGTTGTTCCACAGGTGCAGGACTTTACACTTCTGCTTGTGGAACTTCATGACATTCCTGTCAGCCCATTTCTTCAGCCTGTCAGGTCCCTCTGGATGGCAGCATGATCCTCTGGTGTACCAGCTACTTCTCCCACTTTTGTGTCATCTGCAAACCCGCTGACAGTATACAGTCTCACCATCTAGATCATTACTGGAGATGTTTAACAGGACTGGAGCCAGTACTGACCCCCGGGGTACACTGCTAGTTACTGGCCTCCAACTAGACTTTGTTCCCCTGATCCATCACCCTTTGTGCCTGGCCATTCATTCAGTTTTCAATCCACCTCACTGCTCACCCATCCCATACATCAATTACCTGAAAGGAGGTTGTAGAGAGGTGCGTGTTGGTCTCAGCAACAAGGGATAATGGCCTCAAGTTGTGCCAGGGGAGGTTTAGATTGTATATTAGGAAAAAATTATTTACTGAAAGGTTTGTCAAGCACTCAAAGAGGCTGCCCAGGGAAGTGGTGGAGTCACCAGCCCTGGAGGTGATCAAAAACCATGTCACTGACATCCCTTGTCAAGTTCAATTCCAGTTGAGCTTTAGCTTCTATATCATCCCTGGATACTCAGACAATGTCTTTGTGCTCCTGCCAACTCACTCATCCTTGATTACACTCTCTGCATGCTTTTTTTTTTTTCCTTTCTTCCCCTGAGTTTGGCCAGGAGTTCCTTGTTCACCCACACAGACTGCCTGGCATTTTTGCCTGACTGGCTGTTCACTGCAGTGGACTGCTCTTGAGCCTGGAGGAGGTGATCCTTGAATATTAACCAGCTTCCTCGGGACCCTCTTCACTCCAGGGCCTTCTCCCATGGAATGCTTCCAAGCAGACCTTCTAAGAGACCAGAGTCTGCTCTCCTGAAGTCCAGGGCTGAGAGCTTGCTTTTCACTCTTCTTCCAGGATCCTGAACTCCATCTTGTGGCCACAGCCGGCAAGGCTCCCTTTGACCTGCACAGACCCTAAGAATGCCTTAATCAAACCTTGCTTGTCTGTGTGCCTTACTAATGTTTTGAGCACCAATCAGTCACAAATAGAA